CAGATCCCATATTACCAGCAACTGTTGAAAATCTAAGATAATAATATAATGTTTAGATCAGAAACAAATCATTTCACGGTGTTTAATAAATGGTGAACAATATAGGAAACAATTAAGGTTGTCTTACCGCACTGCTATTTTTGTTATTTTCCCTTTTACAAACACTTTAGAACTGGTGAATTCTTCCAAAGAATCTGTGCAGATAAAATCCCCAAATGCACCAGCGCCTTTGGCATGCACTATTCTTTCAGGAATACGTTCCCTATAAAAAAGAGGCACTTTATGTTTCAGTAAAGGTACATTCAGGCTGAGAGCGTTGAGCGTCGCGTCGCGTTTGCGTCGCGTCCGCGTGTCGAAATGGAATCAATTCACTTAACTTAAATTAGACCGTTCAGGCATACAGCGTCGCGTTTGGGGTTGCGCTAGCGTCCGCTGAGCGTCGAGGTTCGAGTTCAATGGGGCGGACGCGACGCAAACGTGACGCGACGCTCGACGCTCTCAGCCTGAATGTACCTTAATGCATACCTTACCAAAAATTTGGCTTTCGGATTTTTAATTTCTTAGTTATTGTTTCAAAAATGTTAATGAAATGTTCTTCTTGTCTGACTTAAAAAATAACTGAATTACCTATATAAGAATTTTTTTTCCAATCTGGCTGTATTTATTTTGAATAAATTATATAAAATACCTAACCGATTTTTTTTAGAATAATACCATTAAAATACAGCTTTATACAACAAAAATTGGCGTCAACGATGGCTCTGAAATTAAGATCGCTGTCATTTTATATGTAAAATTATACATATTTAAAAATATAGGAAATGTAATAAGTAATAACGTAATTAGTAGATTAGTTAGATTGTCATTTCCAAGCCAACTGGACGCCGTTTTTTTCGATCTTACTGTACTTAAAAATCATACTTTTACATGTTATATGCAAAAGTTATTTTTAAGTGAGAAATATATGAAAATGACTTAGTTACCTGTGAAAGTGTCCTAAGTGTTCGACCAGCTGCCAATCTCTAAGGGGTATCAATCCCTTTTTGCCTATCGTCAAGCTGGTTTCTGGATTCACTATACCAATGCCTGCACTATTTCTGGCATAACAACATTGTGTGTCCTGATAATAAAGAATATTTTTACAATACATAATAGATACTATGTCAAAAAAATAGTAAATAGTTTTTTCTTGATAAATATTGTTTGGTGTTGGTTTCTTGTAGAGGACGCGATTACAATTTTTTCATAATTTCGGAGCGGTTAGGCTTTTTCCAGAATTACGTCGCCAAATGTGAATTAAATAATTTATTCAAATTTATTATTATATACTTATTTTTTAATTTTACAAATAAAATACAATGTGTTGTACAGTATGTCTCCGGATTGTGTTTACAAGAGAACTTTTTTTTGAGAAACATACATTCTTATATATATATATATATATATATATATATATATATATATATATATATATATATATATATATATATATATAATATATATATATATATATATATATATATATATATATATATATATATATATATATATATAAACGGGATTTGGTTTTTAAGTATTTAATACTCATTACCAACTACAGCCTATTGCTGCCTTCCCGTTACCCTACGCCACACATTTCGATTTAGAGCGTCATCAGCTTCTAGGTTACGAGCTTCCATTGCTTCCGTAACCGTTCCGTTCCAGAATTTTCTAGGTCTACCTCTCTTTCTTCTGCCCTGGGGAGCCCATTGAAAAACTCTTTTTGGCCACCTGTTCTCCGGCATACGCAGAACATGTCCAAACCATTTTAAGCTGGATTTTTCGATTCGATCCAGTACTGCTCCTCCGATGCATTCATCAAAAATACATTCTTCATAAACATTTTTGCTTGTTCTAAAATGGTTAATTCCGTTTATAATTTTCCAAACTGCCATACCTTTTACACAAACAAGTCCTAAAAATTCTCTTCTTTGCTAGATTGTTATTGATAAGAATGTTAATTACCGTCATATTTTTCACTGTTTTAAAATATTAAAGCAGCACAAAATTTATTTAGTTCAGTGCTACGGAGAGGGGGTGATAATAGTTATCGGAAAATGTGAAAGTTTATCAACAGCAAAATTATTATTAATTAATTAATAAGAACCATCTATCAAAGAATGAAATTGAAATGATATTACCATAGAAACGCCTTTTGATATTTCAAAACGCCTTTTGGACTTTTTTACGAAATTTGATTTTGATGTCAATATGACTCCTACTTGTAGAGGGCACCACCTACATATTATTTAACTGGTTTGAAGAGTAGTAACTTTTCGTCCGTATCTGTATAAAACTACTGAGTAAAAAATATACATTTGCGACGTTTTTTACGTAAAAAAGGTTTCTTGGTGAAAATCGCTACGGGCAACCTTTACAGCGCTTTTAGATGGAGCGGACCGTCCAGTCCGCGCGGAGCGTCCGCGCGGGTTTTATTTCAAGATAGCTCATCCGGACGGAGCATACCCATGTGAAATTGTTCATATAAGCTCATGGTACTTGCTCGAAGTCGCGGACGCTCCGCTCCATCTGAAAGCGATGTTAGAGTTCTCAAGATATTTAGAAAGAAAATAGTCAATACATGTCATTATTGACAAAAAATAAACATGTGTAGATAGTTATTTTATTGAGATGATAAATTTGGGAACTTTTTATTTTTTTAAATTAATCAGAAATGATGATAAAACCGTTTCTGTTAATCTTTTGGCACAAAAACATTTCAAATTTATGATTTTAGCCTAATAACTATTTAGTCAACATGTTTAATTTAAGTCAATGATGACATGTATTGATAATTTCGATTCCAAATATCTCAAAAACCATTCCTAGTATTAATTTTTACCAAGAGACCTTTTTTTACATAAAAAAACATCGTAAATGTATATCTTTTTACTCAGTAGTTTTATACAGGTATGGAAGAAAGGTTATTAGTCTTTAAACTAGTTAAAAAATATGTAGGTGGCGCCCTCTACAAGTAGGAGTCATATTGACATCAAAATCATATTTCGCAGGTCAAAAAATTCCCAGATACCATTTTTCATCTAAATCGCGATGGTACTTCAGAAATTATTTGGAAAAATTCGAATTATATATATAAACGGGATTTGGTTTAAGTATTTAATACTCATTTCCAACTACAGCCTATTGCTGCCTTCCCGTTACCCTACGCCACACATCTCGATTTAGAGCGTTATCAGCTTCTAGGTTACGAGCTTCCATTGCTTCCGTAACCGTTCCGTTCCAGGATTTTCTAGGTCTACCTCTCTTTCTTCTGCCCTGGGGAGCCCATTGAAAAAATCTTTTTGGCCACCTGTTCTCCGGCATACGCAGAACATGTCCAAACCATTTTAAGCTGGATTTTTCGATTCGATCCAGTACTGTCTCCTCCGATGCATTCATCAAAAATACATTCTTCATAAACATTTTTGCTTGTTCTAAAATGGTTAATTCCGTTTATAATTTTCCAAACTGCCATACCTTTTTACACAAACAAGTCCTAAAAATTCTCTTCTTTGCTAGATTGTTATTGATAAGAATGTTAATTACCGTCATATTTTTCACTGTTTTAAAATATTAAAGCAGCACAAAATTTATTTAGTTCAGTGCTACGGAGAGGGTGATAATAGTTATCGGAAAATGTGAAAGTTTATCAACAGCAAAATTATTATTAATTAATTAATAAGAACCATCTATCAAAGAATGAAATTGAAATGATATTACCATAGAAACGCCTTTTGATATTTCAAAAACGCCTTTTGGACTTTTTTTTCAAATATTTGAAAAACGCCTTTTGGAAAATTTTAACCATATTTTCATGTTTTTTTTAATTTTTTTTTTTAATTTTGTTTAACAGTATGGAAATTTGGAAAAGTATAAACAATATTAACATTTTTAGAACAAGAAAAATTATTTATTAAGAAAACATTTTCCTTTAAATGGCAATAACTAAAAAGTTTTTCCTCTTGTAAAGACAATCCGGGAGTAATAAAAATCCATACAGGATCCATACTGTATATAAAAAGCATTATTTTATACAGGGTCAGTCTTAAATAAGTGCAAATATTTTTAGAGATAGTATATTTCGACCCCAGAAACACGAATATGAGGTTTTTTTCGCGAAAAATTTTTTTGGGAATATTTGGAATTTTTTGGGAAATTTTGGAATATTTTAGTTTTTAGTTAAAAAATATAATTTGTTGATAATATGGCAACATAGGTAGTAGATTAAATTTACAAGAAAGAAAATCCAGAAAAGATCCTGTGGTTTTTTTTGGAAATTTTCAAAATAAAATAACTCGGTTATTTTGGATTTATTTCAAAAACATTTTAAAGAAACGAAAATATCTTTCTTTTATCTAGATCTACCAACCTTGAAAATATTTTCACTTATTTAAGACTCACCCTGTATAAGGACCATGTATGAAATACCTAAAATATATTAAAAAACTGTAAAAACTGGGGTCACAGCAGATTTAACAGTATTAATTCACGGTTGAAAATAATGAAGATCACTTTTTAGAAACCGATATTATGCAACGATGGTTTTTGCAGTTCTCAGAAGTTTTTTTAAAGCTACTTTTTTGGTTTTCAGTTTTTTAGATCCAGGCTCAAATGTTTGAAGCCTTATTTAAAAAAAAACTTTTCATAGAGTGAAATCATTGTTTTGTATCTCGTTTTTCTGAAAATAAAAATTAATATTTGATTTTAAAGAGAAAAAACACAAAAACAATTCGGATAAGACGGGTTTTGTTGCAATCTGATGCATATTGCGGGTTTGATTTATTAGATATATGATATTTTATTAAAATTAGGTAAGGATTTGAAATGAATAAGACGTCAGTATTAATATTATACTTGTGTAAAAAGCCTACGAAAAAATGCGAGATTTGTTACAATAATGACAATAAAAAGCAAATATAAGTGGATAAGAGGGATTTTGCTGCAGTAACGTAATTTGTAGTGAATTTTACATAGGAATAGGTGACTTTTCCTGAAGTTTGGGACTATATTTAAGTAGATTTCAAGGTCCCACTATTAATATATGAGTGGTTCAGAAGTGAACTGGATCAAATCCTATAGAAGATAATTATTGAGAAAATGAGAGTTAAAGTTTATTAATGTTACTTAATTAAAATAAAACAAGCTGGAGAAGAAAACTTGACACAATGATTATTCTATTTTAAATGTTATAATTGCAAACTAAAGTAATTCAAAATACAACTCTGGTCATTTTTAAGAATGATTGTTTATCATTTTTTGGACTTGAACTATTTTGTCTCTGAAAATATTTGAAATTTTAGAATTAAATTGGTTCATGGGTACATTCTTCTTCGTCATTAAGGGATTTGTTGACTTCACATTGTCTATTAATAGCGTTTTCTTCGATTTTAATAAAAATTATGGAATATTGGCGGGATAAAGTGAAGATCTTTCATGTGTTTGCATTTAGAGTGTGTTATGTTACTTCTATATGAAATGATAAGATTTTTCTTCTTCGTGCAGTTTTATTCAGATTAACAACATGTCAGATGTCTAAGTATTTGTAAGAAAAACAGCTTAACTTATTGATGTAGTAATAGTGAAAATAATGATAAACTATACTTTCAGAATCGATAGAATCAGACTTTTCAGATGGCTGATAATCTGATTAACTTGATCCAAATGGTTCAGACTTTGTTTCATTGTCATCCATTTTATCAAAAAAAGAATTGTTTAGCTCTAAACTTTAGCACGTGTGTTAAAATCGTGCACGGCGTTAAATTTTCTTGATTCATTTCTCTACTGGAAAAAAGAATATTTTATAATCGTATAAAGGCGATTACCTTAAAATAGTAGGAAATTGAACGTGATTCTGACCACTCCATATGTCATTAGACTATTTAAAAAAAATGGATAAGGCGGGGAAAACATCTAACTTAATTTAATAAACAGAAAACGGAAAATTTCTCAAGACGCTTCCTTCAGTTGGCGAAAATTCTGCGCCAGCAGGTCTTCCCAACTCGATGACTGTGCCTTTTTTCGTTGCTTGTGCACCGGGTTCAAAGACAAGCACGACCTCTGCAGCGAAGAGTGGGC